AAGCACATCTTCATCTTAGAGATAAAGGTTGTGTTATTCTGCTTTTAGTTATTGTCAACTAATCACAGTAAAAAACAAATGCAACACTGTGGCGGAATGGTTCTGACATCCAGACGGTCACAGACAGGTCGTAAATGTTTGATGTCATCATTTTCAATTCAAGGATTTATACACATTTGTTGTTTTTTTTAATCCACAGCAGGACGACTGTGAATGTGCAACTATGTGTGTGTTCATGGTGAAAGGATCTATCAGTGCATTTGTCTGTTTTGTTGATGTGTTTTTCATAGTTATTGCTCCACAGTACTGGTCTACTGGTCGAGGAATAAGGTAGACCCAGCCTGAACTGCAAAGAGACTTATTAGTTGGATCGATTTATTATTTATGTTTTGGGAAAAATATACAATATGAGCCTCATCACTGACCTGACATTACCGACCTATATATCATTGACAGACTCACAATGTTCCACAAAAATCTCCAAATCAATACAATATAACAAGAGACATCGGCAGCATGATGCTCAACAGTTTGATTGGATTTATCAGATTTCTTGCAGCTCCTGCTCTCAAATGTACCTCATGTCTCTGGTCTAGTTTTTAAATCCTAAAACCGGTCTAATGTACTTCTACGATTTATAAATACAACCTTAATTGTTCTAAATAGCCCATGTCAAATTCACAGGCTTTATGTAACTATAGACAACATGACTCCCCTAAAGGTAAAGCCAAAGTCCGTCAATCAGTATAGGCCATGAATCCTATCTCCTCCGTGTTAGCGTCTGGGACGTAGACCAAACAAAAATATCCACATAAAAAGTATGTTCAAGTGCTAATTCTTCCAGGAATTTGCAAACAGTGGAAACTCAAAATTGCGGCTCCATCCATTGGCTGATGACAGCATTCGTATCCGGGATATTTTGGCTGCATTTCTGGATAGTTGGAGGAGGTGGAGACGTGTCATCCATCTTTTATGTCCATGGCTACAATAACTGACTCCCCTGTCCTCTGTCCTTTTTGCCTGCCCTTATTTCAGGTTTTATCTTTAACTGTCTCTTCTTTGTCTTTTTCGCATCTGTAAACCTTCAAAGATCTGTATGTATTTTGCTGTTGTGGAGTTGATCTGTTACAAAGAAGTGACATACATCTTATTACATATGATCAATATTAAAGTGCTATATTCTTCATCTTCAACAATTATCTTCTTTCCTCCTGCTGTTTATCTTCCTCCTCACTCCCCCTTTTCTTTCCTCTCAACCCAACCAGTCAAGGCAGATGATTTTCTACCCTGAGTCCAGCTCCGATAATGTTTCCTCCTTTTAAAGGAGAGTTGACCTCTCCTCTGTTGCCGAATACTTTCTCATTTTTGGAGCTGTTGAATTTCTCCCTGTAATATTGTAAGGTCTCGTCCTTATCTCAGTGTTTTGAGATAAAATACGTTGTGATTTGGTGCAATATAAACAAAACTGAATGAAATTGAACTCATGCTGCCCAGGGCAGAACATTCCTGATGAAACAAGCAGCTGAGATACCTGACCTCACTCAGGAGAATTCAAAGTTTTCATTTCAGTTTGCTTCGTGCCTTTAAACAACAGCTTCTTCTCCGTTCTCAAACGTGTCTTTTAATTCTGATATTATCATCAGGGGAAGGCTGAGCATGCCATCAGTAGCTTAATTAAAGAGCCTTTTATATTATTGACAGCTTCTGCATTTAAAATGACCTTCAGCTGCTTTGGTCTGCATGCTAACACATTCTTCTTCTTTGGAGGACACAAATGATTTATGCCTCATCTCTCTTAGTCATTGCGTCTTTATATAGAACTGCTCTTTGTGGATCATCATGCAACCATTTCTTGATTTACTTGTTAGGGAGGTTAAATATAACAAATTCTGCTGCACGGACCTCATAAGAGGAGTACCACATTAAGCACTTCTACAGAACTTGGATTATGCATGTGTGCATATGTGTGTGTGAGTGAATGCAAGCTTGCACATTTGCTGTCTTGTATGAGTGTCACTTCTCATTGTGGTAAACCAGGAGATGACAGAATGATGCACCTTGTAGTTTTGACAAAAATCCTCCAGAGGCTTCACTTCACAGTGGAGAGTCAGTCATGCAACCAAGACTTACACACAGCAGCTCCCATTTAATTTGATTATTCCTAAAAAAATATAGATTATATATAAAGATGGACAACGTGTTTCCACTTCCTCCAACTATATCCAGAAGTTATGCCTCCATTTTTCACATTTGGAGCCAGAGACTGTGCAGCAGAGTAGAGATCAGGGGATGACGACGAGGTGGTGGTGAGGTCCTGCAATACACACACTTGACCAATCGTGAGTGAGTCCCAGCTGTCTATCAAGAAGTTTCACCCTGTTTTTATACAACAAGTAACGGGTCTATTCAGAACCAAAGTTGCAGGCGGTGCAGAAGGACCCAATGCAGCTTGCCTGTGCTACCAGATTAGCTAGCAGGCATCATACTTTAAATTTTGAGTGTGGTCCATATGTCCCATCCACTAACAAGGAGGAGGCAGGTTTTATAACCTATGCTACATCCAGCCACTAAGCACCGATCAAGACACTTTGGCTTCACTTTAGGGGAGCAGCCCTGTCCTCCATCTTTATGTACAGACTTTGGTAGAAACATACACAGAGGCACTGTGTCACTTAACCTGGAGTAAATTCAATCACTGACTCTGGTTGAGTCGCCCAATCTGTTGCTGCAGCTGGAGACAAAACAGGTGAAGCAGCTGTGACAGTTAGAGAGAGTCTATAGAGAGTGCTAAAGAGCCGTATTTGCTCCATACTCTCAGACTTTTCCCTCTTATCTAGTTAAGTATTTCTGCATGTTCAGGCACATACAGGGGCAGCATTAACCTCGCTCTGTGGGACACTCTCTGTCTCTCTACAATCTCCCGTTAGACCAAAAATCAATCTCCCTGTGGAGCAGCAGCCCATTTGTCCTTGGCTTTGACAGAGGCTTGGGTCAATAAAGGCACTGCATCGCTACTTCATCGTTGGGCCTCCCAGCAAAGCCTCTGCTTGGCACAGCAATACTATGACCATAGTCCATGATAGATGGCTCCGGCATGTGAATGGAACTACTGGAGCAAGTCAGAGCCACTGGGCAGCACTGACACATTTTGTTGACTCTCCTGCTTTTGTCTCATGATGGTGCATTAGATGGCAAAATGACAGCAACTTTGACTCAGCCCTCTGGATACCACAGGAGATAACATTCCATTTTAAACCTTGGATTATTTATTTTTTCTCGTATAGTCAGAAATCTGTTTCCATTAATCTACTTTTTCTTAATTAAGGTACCACTGTCATTCATTTTCTTTGTTGACAAGCCTAATGTACTGTATTTAAAAGACATCCTATATACAAAATCAAGTATTAAACATCCTGTAAAACATTTCTATGATTATATATTTGTTTAAATAGTATATGTTTATCAGCAAGATACAGCTTTATTGAAAACATCACAAGGCGTGCCAGCTATTCTTACATTGTATTCAGGCACATCCATGCTTTGAGGGAAAAAGCTAATGTCAACATGCTAACTTGTTCACCATGACAATTTTAAGATGATGAGTATTTGTATATTATCATGCTTAACATGTTTAATCATCTTGGTACGGCGGTTTCTTATGTTATTAGTTTTCAGGCATTTGGTCAAAGAAAACTGATTTAGATCTTTAGCCTCTTTAAAGCAGCAGATGAAAAGTAAGATGATCACAAAAGTCTGTGAGATTCGTCCTCTGGGAACCATGAATGTCTTTACCAAGTTTCATAAGTATCAAATGACAGTGTGGTAGAAGTTGAATCTGCAAGTCTCTGAATTATAGAGCTATAGATTGAGTTTCAGCTCTTCTTTGTGTAGCTGCTCTGCAACTTTACTGCTCTGGTTCACTCTCACCATTTCCTAAGCTAATATCATTAGAAAAGATCTGGAAACACAATTTACACAATCTGCTCTCCACCACGTTACACAAACACAGTAAGAGATTAGCTGCCAAATATATCCTTCAAAGAGAGTAAATATGACGACTGAGTGCAAATCATCAACAGTTTGATAAGAATTTTGTGATTAAAGCCGGTTCACATGGTTGTTTACTATTTCAGTCCAGAACAAAGCAAACAATGAACGGACATTACCAACTTAAAAATCTCAGTTTTATCAGATGAAACATGTTGTTCTTCATAAAAAAGAAATAATTATGTCTCCAAGTTTTTCTGATAAAGATCCAAGAGATGTGTTTCTACTTACCTGATCTCTATCAGCTTTAGAGCAGGGTATTTTAATACACTGCCTCCTTATCTTTGTTGAGAGGTGCCTGCAGTATTTGTCAAGGCATTACCCAAAGTGGCCTTGTATATACTGGACTCAAACAATGGAAGACACTGTGTAGCAAATGAGGTTGGCAAATTAACTCTCTTAGTGTTAGTAAAATCTTATGCTGACTAAGAACATAATTAACAAAAATCCTTTCAATTACATGATTGTCCCTCGAATGAACATGTGATTTACTAATTAACCTATTGAAGCCCACTTCCCTCAATAACAGTAATGAGCAGACTGGTGAACACAATTAGCTTGACCCTATAATTATTTGTCATGAATAAATGTATGTGTTACTATTATTGTCAATTACATGTCCTGAAAATATATAATCATGCAAAAATTATACATATTATCTCAGCCTCCACCTCTCAGCATCATCCTGAGTTGCTTATGTTAAAACCATAAGAAGGAGCAGCCCTGCTAACAGTCTCACACACTTTGAAAACTGTACAAACACATCACAGTTTACCACAGTGGGACAGGCCTTATTTAACATAAAGCAGAAACAGTTGTGACGCTTCCTATTATCTAAACCTCACATCACGTGGCTTCTGCTCTCAGCTACTTCCTCGTTTGCTTCATATCGGAACTGATGACTCTATTTACTTTCCACCACATGCTTATAGCCGAGCATTTCTGAAGAGAAACTTCACTCAGACTGTCTGACGGCACTTTAATTTAGTTTCAGCCTTCATGACGATTTGAAGATTTCAGCAGTCATGGATCAAGACGTGCTGTCGTTGTCATCCTCTTCATCGTTTTCATCCTCAGCAGCAGTGGTGGCAGCAGAAACTGAAGAAACTTCAGCAAAGATTGACAGCAGCCTCAGTCAGAGTCAACAGAAGCACAAATCTGCCGGAGCATTATGGTATGTACACTCACATCTCTAAACACAAAAACAGGAACACTTAATGTAAAACAATTTAATGTAAAAGTCCACATACATCAGCCTCGAATAGTGTTGAATTAACACTTCTCTCAATGTTACAGTAAGAAATAAGCTTAGATATTGTGTTAAGTAGTACAGGGGTATTAATATCACATACATGATACTGTGATATAAATATAATACGATATATTATAGATTATTATCTGTAATCAAGTTTGGATGAATTGTATTTTCAAACATGTTCTCGGAGACACCTCATGAAGAAGTTGAGTGAGAGGGGGAATAAAGAGTAGCTGCGGAGTTTCCAGTGAGGTCATAAAGATGTAGGCTTAAATTCATTATTTCACAACACTGATGCACTATCATGTAAATGATAATATATGTAATGTGCGTTTTCATTTCTTCTTATTACAGATGACTTATAGTAACAGTTTGGGGGGGAGGGGGAACACTTAGTAAATATCATGACCGCTCTACCTACACAGATGATTAGTCTTGACCTTAAAATAACCATGTTTGATTGTGAAACTTCACACTTCTCTCCTTTGTAAGGGGGAACGACTGCAGCGTTTCTTCAGCTACAGTTAGAGTTGGTATTGAAATAGATATTTGTCAGAGATGCCATCAGGAGGAAGGAAAGATATTATCTCTCTCTTTATCATATGCCATGACAGTTGATTAGCATATTGCTGCGAGAAGCGGTGGCATTTTGGTGTCCTTCCAAGACAGCATACGATTGAAAACTTTGAGGAACTGATTCACATCAGCTGTCACAGAAGCCAAGAGAGAAAAGGCTCTGGATCAGTGAGACACTGAGGATGGTGTGGTCCCAGTACGATGACTGAATACACACTGCTTACTTGCCAAGACAGGGTACTGGACACGAGTGTGTTAACTGTTTTGTGCTCACACTAGCCACTAAAATTAGGTTCCATTTCACTCCAGCTTCTGCCTTCATCCTACACTTCAGACCCGTTGGTTCAGTGTGGATGACTCACTCATTAGTGGACATAAACAGCCTGTTCCTGCCTTGTTTCACCCAGAGGGAGGACAGATGGTTCAGGGTGTAGATTTAGACAAATATTTTGACTCTGGGTTGAATTTCCTTTTATGTATTCATCTCTTTTTGGTTATCTGGTGAGGCTAAATCGGTTTTACACAAACAATATGTATTTTGTGAAAAACCTACAGTATGCTCCAGCAGGTAATTTTTTAATTTTCTAATTAATCTTTCAAGGCACTTTCTTTCTTCTAATGTCTGTATAGCCACATTAAGATATGAAGCTACCTCACTAACATAAACTAGACCTTCACATTTTTACTGCTTTGACCTGATGTTGACGTAACTGTGTGTTGGAGTTGAGACTAAAGGAGGATCGCAGGTGATCACGGATGTAATTCACTCTAGTGCTTAGCTCTCGGAGGTTACAGCAGTCCCACAGTATGTTTGTGTATAGATGCCCCAGGGGGATACGTACTGAGGTCTGTGTTCTTCCCTGAGCCAATTCCCCCCCTGGGCCTTAGATCTCTGCTGCCTCTCTGTCAGCAATTCCTTCTGGACAAGACCTCACAACAAGGCTGGTGGAAAGGAAGCAAATTCATTTTTAGCAAATGTTTTTTATCTCCAATTGGTTTACAGTAAAAGACATCAGCATTTTACAGGGATCGTCACCCACATTGTTTCCAGAGGCAATCGACATGTGAACACATCGGATAATAAACAGAGTTTTTTATTGTCCAGGAGAACAGATGTAGAGAAATTCACCCTCTTGCTCACTCTTTCGCTCTGTGTATGTGTGTGTGTGTGTGTGTGTGTGTGTGTGTGTGTGTATGTGTCTGAGTGTCTTGAGTGCATAATTTGACTGAGCATGCATGTGTGTGCGTGGGTGTGCATAATAACTCTGATTCAATCCTCTCTAAGTGCACTCTATGCGAGTGGGTGTTTGAAAGTGCCCTGACGTTCTTTTGTGTGTACATGTGTTTGCTTATTATTGGAAATCCTCTTCTAATGTTCATCATCATCATGACTTTATTTCTAACTATATATCTGTGTGTGTGTGTATGTGGGCGAGCAGCACTGAGGATGTGACTCCTGTGGGTGACAGGTTGCTGTCCACAGAGGAGCAGGTGACTCTGATCACTGAGAGTATGACAGTCACCTCCGCTGACCAGGAGAAACTGCTGCTGCTCAACAAGAACACCGAGCTCCGCAGAGTCAACAAAGAGGTACAACATCACCTTGTTGCTGATGCTCTGTGAATACCAGAGGAGGAGTGTGGGCGTTGTGTGAAACTGTTGCTAAGCTGTGAAGAATCATCATTACAGTAACAGTTTTATTCAACCTGCGCTTCCTAATTTTAATTAGATGCTGCTTAATTAAAAGCGAGGTGAGGGAAGATGATTTGCTTAACTGATGTAAACTGTCGTGTATTTTGTGATTATGGAGCGTTTTACCTCACTGACCTGAATTCACATCCTGATGCTAATGATGTAATGAATGGTGCTCTCAATGACTGCTGTGGTCATCACCACCGTCATCATCACTACCATATATATATATATATATATATATATATATATATATATATATATATATATATATATATATATATATAGATGTAAAGGCACATCTCCACTTCCTCCTACTATCCAGCCATCTGTGTGGAGCCAAAAATATCACTGATAGTTGATCATCATATTTGACACTGCCAGCACAGAAATGACCACTTGAACATCATTGTGTTAAGACCGACCTACAATGACAGAAAACATCTTTGAGAAACATCGATATGACCTGTTATCCATCCACTAACATGGGAGACGAAGGGTTTACTGCAGCCCACCACCAGGTGGCGATAGAGATGGTTATGGTTCATTTTCGACAAGCTGTCATGTCGTCCACCTTTATGAACAGTAGATGATGACGGCATTGATGATGATGATGTGACAGGTGATGAAGCTGAATGCGGACTGGGACCAGGTGTACCGCAGTGCCACACTGGGTCTGCAGCACAGACTGGAGGCTTTGGAACTGGAGAACACTGCAGTCAAACATCTCAACAGTAGACTGCTGCTCAAAGTGGAACACCAACAGGTAAACACACAGACCTCCTTGGTATGGAGCCTCAAAAGTCTAGATCTCTAGACACTGTGGATTATCGTCCAACAGATTTAGACTGTGGAATAGAACATTTGCGATATTTAGTATTTCACTTGGGGTTTCAGAGTGCAAAGGAATACTACGAGCAGGCTCTGATGCAGGAGCTGAGGAAGAACCAGGAGCTGCACGAATACATCAGGCTGCTGGAGAACAGGACACAACTTCCACAGAGAACCTGCTCACATGTCAAAGAGGTATTAGACTTGTCAGTGGGTCTGTACACGTCATCAGTTTGCACATTTTCATTTCTGTCAATAGGCTCTCATCTTTGACTTGAATGTCGCTCATCACTGTGTCTTGTTTTAACTGAAGGGCAGCTTCAGTGCTGGGGTAAGTGCTCCTGTGTTGTCGTCCACCACTAATCCACCAAGAGGTCCTGACTTGTCACCCAACATCGTTTCTGGACAAAAACCTTCATCCTCCTTCTTCCCTGCCTCCTCGGGCTCAGAGGAAGGGTGGCAGAGTAAAAGCAAAAGCAGCAGTACCCCACTGGGAGACTCCCAGCAAGAAGTGCATGATCTAAAAGAACAGCTGGGGGCACTGAGATGTCAGGTGAGCTGCTCTCTTCAGCACAGCATCAATAAATGTTCCCATTTCTTATGTGATGAGAGCAGAACTGATGTCAAGCCTCTGTTGCCAGGGGAAGATTTGCTTAATGTTCAGAGGGAGACTTAAATCACAAGGTGAACTGCACCACCAAGTGGCGGTTCTGAAATGTTCTCACAGCACAACGAGAAATATCTTCAGATCACAAGATATTGCTTTGATGCTGGCTCACTGCCATGTTAATGTCTTGTGTCACCAGACTCAGATTTATGAAGCAGAATTTCAGACGGAGCATAACGACCACAAACACACGCTGCAGGAGAACAACAGGTTGAGGAAGAAGAGGGAGGAGATGCGTCAACAGGTGGCACTACTGCAAGAGCAGGTAATGTTTTAATTGTCCATACACACACAAACACACACACACACATTCACACATGAACGTAAATTACATGCATCTGTTATTTAGTGCCACGCTGGATTGGTTAAATATGGGATGTGTTCATTAATGTAGTGCAGTTGCAGTGTAAGTACGCTGTAGTAATCATATGATCCCTTAATGAGACATTTCCTCAAAGTGTTTAGTATAATCTGTTTTGACATATAATGACCTGAATCTTCTCAAGCTCTGTTATTGTCTGTTCATGTTGTTTTTTTCTACCGATTCCGTGATGGTCTTCTGACATCGCCACAGGTCAAGGTTTATGAGGACGACTTCCGACGGGAGCGCTCTGACAAACAGATGTTGCAGAGGCTGCTATTGAAGAAAACGCCTCCCAACAGGGACCCTGTGCTCATCCACCGCTGCAATAATGTACAGCAGCCACTGGGAGGTGACAAGAGGACGCAAAGAACAGAGAAAAGAAAACAGCACCTCCCCTTCTGCCCCAAGCACCCAGACAGAGACAAAGAGTCAGAATGAGGCTCAGAGGGAGACACACAATGGTGATACACGTCACATAGTACATGACTGTTAGGATATTAAATCTTCTTAAATAATGAAAAACTTTATTGTGTCAATGGTTTGTACCATTAAGTTACAGAGATGCTGCAATA